TTCTCATAAGGCAAAGCTTGTTCATCTCTCAATCTGCTCCAAAAGCAGAGGTGTAGAGAGGGGCTGACTTTATTGCATTAGGAATCCAGTAATCTAGACTAATTATAATTATAAAAGGTACAAATTAAGTAATTCTGGTGCTCTGCAAAATAACTTAAATATGGTACAGTGCATCTTAGTGGCTGATTATTGCTTCTCTGTGTGATGAGTTTTATGAAAAAGGAGGGGAGAATTTATCAGGAGATAGTTATAATATTTATAGTCATGGCAAGCGTAATATTGGATCTTGCAGAACTCTCTCTTACAAGTTATTCAAGATTTACATTATTATAATAGGTTTTTAAATGTCCAATGTCATTTGCATTATTTCTTCAAGTCATTTACATGGCATAAATAGCATCGTCTCCCTTTCTAAAATAAATTAGTCATGAAAAAAATCATTTTCAGTGGCTCAGTCATCACCCTAAAACTGTTTTCTGACTTATGATTGCTGTGTCAATACAATCACGATCAGTGACATTGGAATAATAAAGTCCACACTCTGAGAAAACTGGGATAGGATGCCTGCAGGAATCCATTATTTTTGATCTGGAAAACTATTCAAGTGTTCAAGCATTGTTTTCACAAGTTATAACTATACCCTCTCCAATTGAAAAGTGATAAGAAGCATATTCTGAAGCTATTTCTTTTGAAACTCTGTAACAGGGAAAAGAAATGCTGATTTAGAATTAAGATCAGGAAAAAAATATTGCAAATTCTTTTTTACTCATCTGAATAAGAACTGGAAAGATCCAAAAAAAATGAAAATTTAAATGGGATTTTGTGTCACATAGCATTCAATTCTGGCTTTGGGACTACCCCTAGGGAAGCAGCCTAACTGAGTTCACTGAGACTGGCTGCTTGAGCGAGACTTACTCCAGCGTGGAAGTGCTCACATCCACTGTTAACAACATTAATATCTCACTAATGTTCCAGTTTCTTTGCAGTAGAAATGTGTTTTTAGGTGGAGCATCAGCAGCTTCAGTATTACATGCTTGTCAACTCTGATAAGTGTCTTGCTGCATAAATGTAAATATACTCCTACCAGAATCCCTCTTTTTGTTCGTCAAGCTGCCAGCATGGTCCAGACCAGCACTGGCAGGTACATGAATCCTCCAGAGGCAAATAAAGCAACGAATGTTAAACAGCCTCATGAGGATTACCCTGCACCTCCCTGGCGTTAACAAATGGGTACAAGTAAATCAAGAAAATTACCAGGAATCCTCTGACAATTTATTGCATTTTTAGGTAAGTCTTCCTATTCCATAGCTTTACAGAAGGTCCTCTGCAGTATGCGTCTACCTATGTTAATAAAGGAGCTCAGAAGTTAAACCCATACCAACAGTTTATTTCAAATTTGTCATGCTCTTTCAATATATTAATGTTTCAAGAAATAAACATCTGAAGTATTATAATGTATTCTTGCTGCAGGGAAAATGAGATGTATATACTTATTCAAAAATATTAATTCTTATTAACGTAATCAGTGTGGCACAGAATAGGGTAGGAGTACAGCAGATTTTTTTCACTGAATATGACATTTCATGATTTTCTGGCCAGAAAAAGAATGCAGTAACTGAAAATGTATTTAAGAAGCCTGCAAATAATGAAAAATTAATGAAATCAGACAAGCTCTGGAGGGTACTTTGTGTCTTAAATAATACTTTCTCCAACTTTTACTTTTGGTTGCTAAAGTTCTGTAATTAACATCAGTGCTCAATAGATTTAAAAAATTAGCACTTCTGATTGTGGAGAATAGTTATTTCTGCGCAAGCTTAGCAATACCATTTGCAGGAGGTATAAAGAGTCCTTGAAGCTGAAGGACATGAGTACGGTTTTAATAATGTAGGTGGACAAATAGTAATTAAAGTGGTTAGATAACCTTCCTCTGAAGAAACTCCTAGCATGAGCTAATTAAAATATAAATGCGGTGCCTCTCACCTGCTGCGTGCTGCCCTAAATCTCTATGTAATAACATCATTCAGCACGTAAGACTATCTGAGAGGCCGGTACATGCACTATGTTTTTCGGTGAATATATATATTTTTTTAATTAAAATTAAGGTTTTCTGTACAAACATGAAATAAAGCAGCCAGGGCAAAAGTTGAATCAGCTGTGGTGGTGGGCCACAGTTTGATAGACTCCAATGAAGATCACTGAGTAACAATCACTTTATTGGTTCTTTTTTAACGAGGTAGAAGCTGAATAAGTTGTTCTCACCCTAAATTCCTAGGTCTCAAGATTTATCATACAGTTTTAATTCAATTTCTTTGCATAAGCATCACACATCACAAAGTAATATGGGAGTAAAATTAAGGAGAAAATGGGAGTCTGTCCATATGCTAAGTCCCACTGCTGGCCCTCCACAGCCTTTCCATGGATCAGTCAATAGGGTCTTTAAGAGCCACATGTAGACATCCTAGCTGTCATTCTGCGGTGAATGTACAGCCTTATTGAACTCCCCTTCTGGTGTGTTGATTTTGGCTCAAAAGCAAGATTGAGATAGTCTGCTACTGTGTGGTTTCCCACACGCTGAAGAGAATAATAAAGGTGGAGGCTTGGAGCTGGAAGAAAGATGGAAGTTGACAGAACTGATCAATACTGCTAGTTTTACTGGAGCAGAGAGTACAGCGGGGTGAAGCAGTGCTTTTCCACTGAACTTTAGAAGAGTCTGCAGCAGATGAGGATCTGGTCCACTGTTTAGAACCAACACACAGTTTGGGTCGATGTTACTCAGCTTTTATTACAAGGAAATGCCAGCTTTTGTAAGGTTTATTGGTGAAAAAGAAAAAAAAAAGTGAAAAATGCTATGTTGCTATAGAAGTAATTGCTGTTTTTTTTTTTTTTTTTCCCCTCAAATTTTCCAGTGCCAAAGGCTTTCCAAAAAGATTTGTCAATGTGAGGGAACATTGAAAGACATAGTACTCTGATCCATGGATCTAAAATTTAAAATGTAAATGTTAAATCTCTTCCCCCTTCCCCACAAATAAGACATTAAAAATATTGAACTGGCCATTTCTGCTGAAAACGCTAACAATGTCTCTGTCATCGCAGTTCCATTGAATGATTTAGCAATTGGCTTAGGAATAAGGTTGGAATTAACAACCCCCTTCCCTCCCATCCTGGATTTTAAGTAAATTATAACTTAATACCTCCCAGTCAATGTGTATATATCCCACATTGTGTAAAGACATTTTGTGGCTTCTACTAGATCTGAGTGTTAAACACAGCCGACTATAAAGGGAGATGTTAAGTATGTGAAGCTCCAAGGGCATGCTGTGCATTTACTTGAATTGAAAAATCCAGGAACGCTTCCGCTTCTTTCAAAGCTAGCAAACCCTGGAACCGAGTCCTTCACTCATCTACCAGTTGTATCCCTCTGGTTTTACTCAGCCTGAAGTCACTCCCAGTGTCAATAACATAGGCAGGATTTATCCACGAGAACAAGCTACTGCCCAGGAATCCGGATGGTGAGAGTTGCTCTCTGATTTGGAACAGACTTTGACCCAGGGAAATCAATCATCTCCCTAGTGTCACCTTGGTGTGAAGCTGCATGCAGGTGTCTGCCTGAGCGCCAGCTGTTTGCAGCCAGGTGACTCGTTTCAAAGACTGGAATATTAAAAACAAAGTCAACAGAATCATTTTATATGCCCTTTGATCCCCGTAGGATGTTACTTTTCTAGCAAACAGGCTGCAGAAAATGCATTTGCAACTGTCTTTTATAGGAGACTTAATATTGCTATGTGTGGTTTGAAAACAGTGAATGAAATAGTGAATAGTAGCTCAATTCAGTTTTTCCTAAAGCTGCAACTGTGCATGTTCCTGTTTCTGGTCTGATCCCACTCTACACATAGGTTAGTTTTAGAGCCTCACACATTCCCAAAATAGCAGCCTGACTACACGCTTCAAGATCAGAGAATGTCCTTGTGATGAAGACAATCAGCCAATTCATTCCATTTAGCAATTTGGACAAATTAAATTACAGAATTGCAAAGACAGCTATGAAAAGATCTCAAAAGTCATAAGCAGTAAATAAGATCTCAGCTCATGCTGATTAA